ATTCGCCTCGGAACATAGAAAGGCCAATGCATAGTGCAACTACCTACATCACTTTCCGTCCCCCACCACGAATACTATATTTTTTATGATACGTTGTTTTAAAACGTGATTAATAAGGTTAATAATAATATGTTGTGTTAGCATACTCACAACACCTTTGTTGATAATTAACTACCAGTATAAAATAAATAGATTAGGTGCATTTAGCAAAATATAACTGCGCAGTATCCTGTCGATAAGAAGTTAATGTAGGAAACTACAATGCTTGCAGTCGTACTAATCTAAAATCTTTGTTCTCCGCTACAAAATAACGATATCTTTTTACAATAAACCAAGTCTCGTACCGTCGAAGTAATGAGCAAAATTTTTATAGTCAATTCGATAATTAATTGATCTGCTATGAGTCACCGCGAAATAAATAGCATCAAAAATGTAACAATAAAATTTCGAATTATATTATAGCATTGTGTTTATAAATAAAATACTCTCTTATCAATCACCCAATTACGGTTGATGCGACTAAACTTATTCATTTATGACTGCTGATTAGTTACGAATTATATCCACGATAGGACCACTAGACCATCATGATAAAAATATATATATGGAGATGGATTATATTGATTTGAAACCGTTTTCTACTGACCTGTTTATTTTAATACAAAGAAAAACGTTATGACAAAACGAAAAGGTACGAAACAATGCGTCAAATGTTGTTTTAAATATCGATAACTTCCTGTGTGCTCTGTGAGGTGTGATTCTTTGTCGATGTATCGAAGAACGATTAAAATGCTACCTTCAAACTTATAGCTTGAATAAAATATATTTTCAATGTATTGACGTCTGTACATTATTTGTCGTTTCTTGTATCAGCCGTTGTTCGTGCGTGTAGATCGCGATGTCAATTCTTGAACGTGCCCCGAAAACGTTATTTTTCCGGTTTTTAACAGACTTAGTTTTGTTTCTTTCGGACGACCGTTACCTAAATAGTCCTTTTGCATCTCAAAGCTTTTTTTTTATTGCTTAGATGGGTGAACGAGCTCACAGCCCACCTGTTGTTAAGTGGTTACTGGAGCCCATAGACATCTACAATGTAACTGGCGCAACCCACCTTGAGATATAAGTTCTAAGATCTCAGTATAGTTACAACGGCTGCCCTAGCCTTCAGACTGAAACACATTACTGCTTCAGGGCAGAAATAGGTAAGGCGGTGGTACCTACCCGCGCGGACTCACAAGAGGCCGTTCCTTTATATAATCACGAGAACTGTGTGTTATTGTTAAACGGCTTCGTTTCTAAATACGTAAAACTGAGAAACGACCAGTTTTCACGTATAGCGTTAACGGTCCAGCTTCATAAGTTCGTTCAATGTAAACAACAAAATAGTTTCGGTTAATATTTTCAATCGGTAAGCCTTTCTTACCGGAGGTGTAGTCACTCACAGTCGACACGAGCTCCTTGACCCACTTGCGATAGTACATCGTGACGTTGGTCAACGTGGGCTGACGTCGGTGATGAGCGACTTTCACCAAAACATAGTCACGTGTTAAACCATAGAAACGCCCTTTATTTCACCAATACTTATTTTGAAGCTTTCGTGGCTTTAACGGGTAAAATTCTCCGTAAGCCTGGTAATCCTGCAGAGTCAGGAATTCTTTTGTGAACTATAGGTACGTAGAAATAAAGTTTAAATCAGAAAGAACATTTCGTAATAGATGGCATTGTTTTGAGTATTGATTCTGCGAATCAGTCGCGACTTGAAGAGTATATAACCATTTCGATATAGTCGAGTTAATTATGGCTGTAATACGCCAAGAAAAGACAAAGAAGGCTTTAGCTAATTTTCTTCTTAAAATTTATTAACCATTTAAATTTACAGAACAAACCGTTGATCGCCTTGAGCCGAATTTCTCATTAATTATTCATACATTGGAAATTATTCATAAATGTATTACGTGCAGTGCGAACCGTGACCAAAGCCTTGAGTATTCATTCATTTTTAAGATTTCGATAGATCGAGAGGATACTGCTTAAACGCTGTTCGTATGATCGTTATGAGTTTACGTTATCGATCATAAGCTACGAAGCTTGAAATAGCGATCCGGTACTGTTCATCGTTCACCGTGGCCCACTAACCGAGTTTGTGAGCAACAGAAGTAGGCGTCGTACGCTTGTTGTAGGCAAAACGGACATCGGGCGTTCGACGCTACGACTTTTTTTTCTTTTTTTTTTTGCTTCCATGGGTGGACGAGCTCACAGCCCAGTTGGTGTTAAGGGGTTACTGAAGCCCATAGACATCTACGACGTAAATGCGCCACCCACCTTGAGATATAAGTTCTAAGGTCTCAGTATAGTTACAACGGCTGCCCCGACCTTCAAAACGAAAAGCATTACTGCTTCACGGCAGAAGAAATAGGCAGGGTGGTGGTACCTACCCGCGCGGACACACAAGAGGTCCTACCACCAGTAAAACTTGTAATTTTACGTTAAAAATTATTCTATATAAATCACCACCATAGTAAGTAACACGCTAGATGAAATATGCTTAAATAAATAAACATTGTACGCAGTAATAGCTTTCGTAGGACAATCTACAGTGGATTTCTTCATGATTTATTAGCATATTAAAATTGAAAAAAAAAACGAAATTTATCGAGAATAAGGTTTATTTTAGTTTCGAATAATAATATATGAAATTAACCATACCTACGTTTGTTTGTACGTCCGCGTTTCATTGTATCACGCCGGTGTTTCGCTCAATAATCGTTTTATAATAGTTCCCACGACGGGCTCCAATTCAGCGGCGCGGCAAAAGAAACGACAGTTAGCTTGTCATACAAAGAATTTAAAGTTTATCCGTTACAATAAAACGAAGGATTGTGAATTTTGATGAATATATGAGACCATCAACGCAAAAGTGACCTAAACCACTTTTTTTTTTTATATTCAAGCTTATATGACGTATATTCGAATTTATTTGAATAAATTTTGATGCAAAACCGGCCTATCCACAGTTTCACCCATAGATAACAGATAGCTTTGTAAACATTATTTTTGCGCGTATCGTTTTTTTTGCTTAGTCAAATTCAAATTCATTAAAATTCATACCTAATTGCCTTCATACTGACTATGGTAAGCTTAGGCCACTTTTGCCACATATATCTTTATAGGTTTAATTATTTTTAATTGATTAAGTTATTGATGTTCAGACTGATAGAATAGCTTGTGCGCGATAACGTAGTCGAGTCAAAGTATGTTCGATATATAAGGTTATCGGCGATGGTGTCACCGACCAGCCGGCGGCGGCGGCGCGCCAACACGCGATTCTGTATACAAACAACGGCACGGCACACACGCATACGACTCTACGTAGAGAGGTGGCCAACAAAGAGCGCGTTGTACATACAAACGGACCGACTTTATGCGCTTCATGCGATGTAGCCGTCATGCGCACATGCTCTTGATAGTGAAGTTCATTTCGTTTTATTGATCCGAATTAAAATAAACCAAACCTACACATTGCTACACCTAAGACGTTAGTTTATCAAACGGACTCTAATGCTTGAAGACCACCTGCAGACAATTAGTATAATGATAAAATATTTATGTAATTTGTACATGACCAAGAACATGATAAATCATAATAAAATTCATTACATATTAGTTTAATATGTAATAAAGTGAAGCTTTATTTAGAATTGGTTTGATTAAGAAATAATTCTCAAATTCGTAAATGTCGTTCGTCACGTAAGCAAATCTGATGTAATTATGGCATTATTACGGAGTCTCGTAAGCGGTATGATTCTGAAAAACGTGTGATTCACGTTCGATCGTAATTTTTACCGTTAAAAATAAAAGTTTCCTCTCGGTATCTGTATTAAGACGAAAGTATTTTTTTTTCAAAAACAACCTAATAACGTATTGTCACTATACAGTATCATTGACATTAATGGTATAATTGATGATATAAATGATTGAAATAATATGTTTTCTGATCCCGAATTTTAATTTCATTAATGTTCTGACACATTTCCTTTAAGATTTGTGCTTTAAGATCCGGAAACAATGACCGCCCTTCTTTCTCTTGTTAATCATTGTACTCTCACTCTTCCGTAGTTTAAAGTGAATTACCTATTTTTCTCTCTTATCTTCAAATTAATTAATCATTCATGATAACTCTGAAAATGAAAATTTACAATTCACGGAACAAAACCGATTAATTGTTGCTTAAATAAATAATTAGTAGGTACTAAGGAAACGATTAAATAATGATCACTTAAAAAACGATTATATATATTCAATAATGAAATGATAATGTCTAGATAATTATCTAATGTTACCATTTACATTTTTGTCCGGAGTCGAACCCATATTATATTATCGTACGTAAACATCGCGTCCACGCGGGTCGCGAGCATCAGCTGTTTAGTGTAAACAACTAAACAAACGTCAGTACAAATCGAGTTGCTTCACGGTTAGGACGCTCTGCGTGTTAAATATCTAAAATAAGTTCAAATACAAGTAATGTTTTGTACGAAAAAGTTGTGTTATTGTTTAGAAAAAATGAGAATAGGCCAGTCGATCGTTGTGTCCCGTTAACGAAGGCGCGCTGCGTACGTAACGTATAAAGCGTGGGCTGCCCCACCAGCGCGTCATTAGTACAGCGCCCGCGCGCGCGATAGCACGTACCTCTAACTCAAGCTCCGCGCTCGTATTTCGACTCTATGTGTACACAAGCCAACCAAGAAACATGCATTTTTGTATTCAATTCCACGATTGGTTTTATCAAGAGACCGTCGCGTCGGTGGACCCTGCCGGCGCTGCAGCACGCCGGCGCAAGCCGCGTGATCAACGCCGNCGCGTCATTAGTACAGCGCCCGCGCGCGCGATAGCACGTACCTCTAACTCAAGCTCCGCGCTCGTATTTCGACTCTATGTGTACACAAGCCAACCAAGAAACATGCATTTTTGTATTCAATTCCACGATTGGTTTTATCAAGAGACCGTCGCGTCGGTGGACCCTGCCGGCGCTGCAGCACGCCGGCGCAAGCCGCGTGATCAACGCCGCCCCCCGTCCGCGCCGACGACGCCGTCGACGCCGCAGAGACTCTCCACTGAACAACTAGCACAGGCCCTCCGGTCACATGTCCTGTCTCCGAAGCGCATGTGGACCTTGGGATATCCTTTGGAAATTGAACCGAATTCGACTAAAGCGGTCGTATACATAAATCCACCGCCTCGACCTAGACCGATGACTACGTGGGATGTAAATGCCCCTGAATTTGTTCCCGGGTCCCAAGGTGACAGCGGTCGCGGGTCCTTGGGGTCAACTCCGCGATCTGACAGTGACGAAGAAGCGGATGCTGTGGAACACTTGTGTGTACGTTGTGATAAAATGTTTAGAATGACTCGTGATGGTGAATACGTTAAAGAAGAAACATGCCTCTATCATTGGGGCCGTGTTAGTAGTGATTCTCGGTACGCATGCTGCAAATCAATGCTCGGCTCAAGAGGATGCAGTGTAGCACGATCTCATGTGTGGAGCGGTACTCGTCCTGGGATGAACGGACCTCTTGAAGGTTACGTGCGCGCACGTTCACCTCGCGGTGGAGTGTATGCTATTGACACGGAGATGTGTTATACTACAGCAGGATTGGAATTAGCTAGTATCGCGGTCATTGCAGCCGATGGCCGTCTTGTATACCGATCACTAGTTAAACCGAGTTCACCTGTCGTCGATCACAACACCCGTTTCTCGGGCATCAGGCCGCGCGACTTGGCGCGCGCGACTAAGACGCTACGAGACGTACAAAACGATATACTAGGATTCGTTGGAACTGACACAATCCTTATCGGACATGCTCTGGAAAATGATCTCCGCGCTTTGAAATTATTGCACAGCGCAGTTGTAGATACATGTGCTTTATATCCACACGCACGAGGATTCCCAATGCGCCGATCACTACGCGCCCTATCCGAGGAGCTTCTGGGCCGTACTGTACAAAGAGGCAGCAATGGTCACTCGCCATTGGAAGATGCTCGAGCTGCTATGGATTTGGTGCTACTTAAAGTACAGCAGGAGCAAGCGAACAGAGTACACAGCATATCATATCAACTGCCTATTTTGCAACCTTATGATCCCTTAGTTAGTTCCGCCTAATAATTTGAGTGATAATATTTTAATGTGAAAAGAAATTTGTTCTATGGACACAATTAATGAATTATTGACCAAATTGTGATTGACAATATTCGAGAGTGACTAAATTGTCACGTTGACGGAGCGCGCGTACTGACATGTGTAGTATGTGCCTCTGAATTGCAATCGAGGCAATAAACGTGATATTTTTTTAAACCTTGTTTATTTTTATCACTATACCTTTAATTCTAAGCGTTACAAAGTAGGATATCTATCAGATTAGTGAATTTGAATAAGTGTCGAAAGATCCCACTTGGCAGATAAAAACATTTTTTTTATAACTGTTAATATCAAACCACTATGACCATATTGGTGTCACTGTAGCTGTTATAAAAACTTTCACTATTCTAGGTTTCACCGCTACGTAACAACTAGTTGTTAGCTGTGGCACGTAATCCACTTAAGGTTAGCTCTACTCTGTGGTAAGCCTTATTCTGCTCGTCTTTAGCTTCAATTCGNCCACTTGGCAGATAAAAACATTTTTTTTATAACTGTTAATATCAAACCACTATGACCATATTGGTGTCACTGTAGCTGTTATAAAAACTTTCACTATTCTAGGTTTCACCGCTACGTAACAACTAGTTGTTAGCTGTGGCACGTAATCCACTTAAGGTTAGCTCTACTCTGTGGTAAGCCTTATTCTGCTCGTCTTTAGATTCAATTCGGATTAACAAATTCATCAACATTATCCATCAGAAAAGCTTCTTCATAAAGATACATTTAACGCATTCTTGTCCACTGATTGGCAGATGTTTTCCTGATTAGCAAACAAATTTCTGGCAATGTAATATAATAAACATGATTCTCTGCCCAGCTCTGATTTGTACTCTGAATTATAACGTACAAAAATAGGTTTACCTAAAAGACGTAATAAAATTTTGCTGATAGGGAATTCCTTATTACGAAACGAAACAAGTTCTGCTCTAGAGTGAATCATTTGATTAAGCCGGTGTAAACGGGAAAAGCACACGTCGTCACACCACCGGAAGATTTCGTAAGTATGAAGATATTGACTGTACGAATGTTTTGATGAATATGTGTATGTAAAAATAATAATATTAATAGCGAGGTGACTAAGTCTAGCTGTGTTTTCTCAGTGACTAACTCATTCATTTTTTTATGAAAATATACTCGATAAGCTACTCGATACTCGTACCTATTATAAAACATGTTTATTTTTGTTTATCATCAAAGGCCGGGAATGGGCCATCTGATGGTGAATGGTCGTCGCTATTTGATAGACAATTTAGTGTTTAAAAATATTGAATATTTAAAAATTAGCGTTGTCTCTGCTAACCAAAAGAGGATGCAGTGTAAGACGAATTTTTATTTTACATTTTGTTATAGTCCGGTCGTTGAAAGAATGCGTTTCTAATGCTGAATTAAAAAAAAAAAAAAAAAAGAATTTATTGTTATTGCCATTCAAATCAAATCAAATCAAAAAAAAATTTATTCAACATAAATGAAATTACATACTTGTTGAACGTCAAAAGAACTACCGCCAATTCACAAGAACTAGCCTCTGTCCTGAGAAGAATTGGCAAGAAACTCAGCGGGCATGTCTTTTTTTTTTAATATTAGATTTTTTATTTAGCATTAGCAACCATATGTGAACTTAAAAGAAATGTGATAATTTTGCACTTTTCCTATTAGGCCAGATCACATTTTCATAGCGACCGGGCCAAATTAAACTGAAGCGAAACAACGAGACACACCTAGTATTATTTAAAAAAATTGACCTATATCGATGACTCATTATACTGACCGCGGTCACGATCACTAGGCGTTTTAATTGAAATAGGTTTTACGTTTTTAATGTGGTCATAATCTTAATAATTAGGTAACAATAATGTGAAGTGGTTCTCAACCATTCAGATATCACCGACCGTGCACTCGGAGTGACGTTACATAATAGGTATTCTTACATAAACTTGTGATGAAATTATGAAACGCGTATTAAGATGAGCCAACTAATGACCGCCAGGCTGTTCCGTTGGTCATCTTGTCGATAGTTTCTGTAAATATTTATAATATAATAATAAATATCGTAATGTATTTACGTTTTCAGACATCTTTTGATATAAATCCAGTTGACAGGTTTATAAAAACATGAATAGGATTATGTGTTTTTATTGTAACAAAAAAAAAAAAAAAACTCAACACAATACGATAGGTAATATTGCGTCATATTCAGATAATCAATTCCGGAATCATATCCCTGATTTTATATCGTTGGAGTCTGAGGTAGTATATGTAATATTAAGTCGGTTAAATACATTTGATATCACGTATATCAGCAGACAAGGAGCAACGAACTCTTGTCCGGTCGTTTGTACGCGTTTTGTTTACATTTCAGACCGCCAAAATAAGGTTCGTAGGTATTCAATTAGCTCGGTTTGAGAGTTTTTTATTTACTTTATCAGACTAATGTGCCGAGAACGAATATAATATATTTTATAAAAATCCAGAATGATAACAGTTCCGTTGTTAATCAAATAAGGACGCATTATTTTAATCAATGAGGACGCACGTTGGTTTCCTCATTACATTGTAGATAAGGTGACCCAGCCCGCGAAAGATCCGAGATGGCGTTTCTGATAGCTTATCATTATATAAATGCGGAAAAAAAACCATAAAGAATACAATTTTAATGAATTTCTATCTCCGATACGTTGACCCCGAACGCTGTGAACGTTCTGAATATTTTGTTTCGGTTTGTTGTCATTATTACGTTTATCAAGAAAATGTCAAGTGACGTCAAAATTATCGCCCGGTCATGTTTATTATTTCTACGAAAGTACCTAGACGTCACGTCGTCAGTCACCTGTGCGTCGAGCGAGAACGCTGAAAATAGAACTTTTGCGAATGTAAGTACATGCATGCTTGTGTTGGTTACGGTGAAATGAAGTCACAGCGATAAATGATATAAAAATTATACGATAATATTATTTATTTTATCGATGATATTGTTGTGGCTTACTCAGAAACAACCTAGTAATTCCTTATGTACAAGGTTTGTTTGTAACCGAATTTTTTTGACACTATTAGAAGTGATAATGGATAAAATTTGACAGCAATAGGTCCGAATTGTTAAATTTCTGTACCTAACGCTGTAAAGACAAGAAAATAATGCTAAATAAATTTAATTATATTATTAATCTAAATTATCTTGATGTCGACGTTTATCTTAAGATATTAAATTGGTTCAATACTGCAATAATTGTTACGTTATAATACTCATTGTAAAAATGAATATTTAAAAAAATATCTAATATTTAAAAAAAGAAAAAGACATGCCCGCTGAGTTTCTTGCTAGTTCTTCTCAGGACGGAGGCTAGTTTTTGTGAATTGGCGGTAGTTCTTTTTGACGTTAAACAAGTATGTACTTTCATTTATGTTGAATAATTTTTTTTTGATTTGATTTGGTTCGTCGAGTATTGAAGCGGTTGAATTATTATAAAATTTGGCATAATAGTATTGAATCGTTCAAATTTTCTTCATAGGCTGCCTAACCTCCGAGTGGCTTAACGTCAAAGTCTCTTTCGCAATGACAAAGGCTTGCACAAAACGGGGTGTTTCGTCATCAAAACCCAACACGCCCGCGGAGCCCCTCCGCGTCATATATCGTAGCTCGCTGTATTGTGGAAGTTGAGTCAAGGAAACCTATCGATATATACGAGAGCTACTTATACTTTAAACAGTTTTTTTTAAATAATGCTATTAATATATTATTAGAAAATACTTTTTCGGGTTTCGCGAGTCGTAAATATAATTAAAACAGAATTTTTTAAATTTCGCATTTATTATTATTATATGATTTCTGACATTTCATATACTGACTGATCACGAAACCGTAAAAATAGTTTTAAGTAATTTTTTTATTAATTTTTTTACGCTAGACGTGTGGCTCATGGCCCACCTGAAATTAAGCACAATTTGGGTACCACCACCCTTGACACGTGAGGTTAACGTCTCAACTGTTGAAACAGTTGCTCATTGCTAAATAATTTATTGATTTCGTTGTCTTACATGATCTCTATAAATAGTGATTGACTTATTTCAATGATCGTTAAAGAGTACTAAAATTCAATATAAGATAAGAACATAAATGAAATATGCATCAGCACACAAGCGACTTGCAAACACCTATTCAACTTATAACCTTAGCGTCATAAATATGTGTATATAAGTTCGTATGAATTTAACTCGCAACAAAAGCTTTAGTAACACAATTAACAATAATTGTGTAGTCGCCTACTCGCTGCCCACCAAAACCGAATCTGCGATGAAGCCTGGCCTCGGGGGCACCAACAATGACGATGGACCTTGAATTCAGTACGAGTGGATTCTAACAGACGAGTTTTTGTCTTGTTGCTGTTCGGATAAGAATCGCCTCTGGCTCATTATACATGTATGAACCGAGAGCCGTGATTAAAATGTACATATCTATATATTAATACGTGAAGCAAAAACTTTGTACCCCTTTTTACGAAAATTGCGCGAACGGAGGAGTATGAAATTTCCCACACTTATAGAGAATATACAGAGAATGCTAATTTATTTTTTTCTAATAATGCAAAAAAAATACATTAAATCAATAAAAAAAGGATTACACACACTACCATATATTTGACACAACACATACATAAAAATATATGTACTCTTTGTTTACTGTCTATTGTCAAAGTTTTGTTATTGTTTAAAGTCTATGGTAAAATTGGTGAGAATAGATTAATATTGTTTGTCTTTAATATTATTTATCTATAGTGCAGTTTTGGCGAAATCTGTGATTATATTATAGAAGTATAATTGTGTTTCACAATAGAACCATAATAATGTTTAAACTTATAATATCAATACATTATATTCGAATTTCGACTACTGCGTCCGATCACTAGTATAGAAAAATACGATATAAATGACGTAACGATGGCAGCGTGAGATACAGTTTTTTTGTTTCATGATTTAGGCAAACGCCTTCCTAGTTTCCTTGAGCGGGGGCCATTGAACGAAAAGACATCAACGCGCATGAAGAATAACACGAATAATCATTTCAGTTAAAGATAGATTTCCAAATCAAACAATGGTGGTAGCCGAGTTTGACTAATAACGCAATGACTAATAATAAAAACACTTGAATAGTAACATCTAAT